GGAGCTCGCCACAGGCCCGCCCCCGCGGGCTCGGGCGGCAGTGGGCAGCGTCGCCCCTCGCTCGCCCGGCCGGGTCCCCGCCGCCGTCCCGCCGTCCCTCCTCTCCCTCCTCCACCTCCTGGAGGCGGCCCGCACACTCACCTCGGCAGCGGCGGGCTCCGACCCACGACCCACGAGCTTCGGAGGCCGCTTTCGCGTGGGAAACTCCACTTCTTCCCGTGAAGTCCGGGGAGAAGAAATGCCAAGTCCGCGCTGGCCTTTGAGTTTGTCGCTTCTCCAGCGCCGCCCGCCCCGCAACCTCTAAGTCTGTGTTTCCTGGTGCTGGGATGCGGTGTGTGCAGTCTCCGTGTGTGGAGAGGGATCAAGATGCTACGGCAGGTCTCAGTTTAGTTCAAAATGAGCTGAGGGTATGAGGCCGTGAGAGGCCTCGTTAGCGCCTGGTGATTTCTTAAAAAGTAGTAGTTATAGCTACTTCCTCGCCCAGCCTTATTTGTTAAAATGAAATAATAGCACCAGGGCCATTGAAGACCTATTGCAGACCTAAAGATATGGCAAGGTTTTGTTTTGCTGGGAAAAAAAAAATATGTATATATATATATATATATATATATATGAGGGGAAAATAGTTGGCAAGATTTCAAAAAAATTTTTTAGTGTATTAGATATTGTTCACCTAATAGAAAATCCAGTTGTGTAAACTGTATGCTTATGGATTTTTAGTGTTTCCACAATTGTGCAACCATTTGTTTTAGAACTTTTTTTTTTAAGTCCAGAAAGAAACTTCATACCAGCAGTCATTCCTCATTCCTTCCAACTTCCCAACCCTGGCAGTCACTAATTTACTCTCTCTGCCCATGGATTTGCATGAGCTGCACATTTCATATAAATGAAATTGTACAACATGCTTTGTAGTGACTGGTTTCATTCATTCGGTGTTTTTCTTGGTGGAACCAGGGACTGAACTCAGGCCCATTGCGCTTGCCAGGTAAGCGCTTACTCCACTGAGCCATCTTCCTGGACCAGTGTGGTTTTAAAGTTCAACCATATCATAGCCTGCCTCAATGCTTTGTTGCTTTTTATGGCTGAATACTATTCCATAGTTTGAGTAGACTACATTTTTAAAATTTTTATTTATTTATTGGACACAGGGTCTCACTAAGCAATTTAGACTCATAGTGATCCTCATGTCTCCGCCTCCCCAACGCTGGGATTATAGGCTTGCACCACCACGCCTGGTTTCGGTGGCCAGCACAGGCACTTAGACCACCAAGCTGTCTACCCAGCCCCTGTATTCACTTTTCTTAGGATTGTTGTGAAGCCTAAGTATAATGAGTTGTAACCAGTGCAGTAGACTTCTTTTTGCACTTTCAGTACAACTTTTATTTATTTTTTCTGGGCTAGAGGTATAGTTTTTTTTTTTTTTTTAGAAGAGAAGGTTTAATAATCGATAAAAATGTACAAAAATATTCAAATCAGAAATGCTTTAGAATGTACTGTACCACGAAGTGAATACTTCTCAGTGAGCAGGGACGGTAAAAGACCTTCTCGATGAAAAAAGCAAGAGAAAAGCTGGATTTAAAAAAAAAGACAGCTGTTAAAGAAAATGTTTAGGTCAACATTGATTTTTCTTTTTTAGACAAGGATACTGAGGATATTGCAACTATCACTTAAAAGTCTGGTGGCACATTCTTTAATAGGTCCTTAAGGCAACAGATTTAAACTAACTTACAATTTGATTTGATGTTAACTTTTTAAAACATCACCTCAAAATAGATGCTCAAAATAATGCCCTCATAATAGCCTTTTTAAAATGTATTTAGATGTTTCATAAAAAATAACGGTGGCTTTATTATAGTAGTGTGTATTAGCACTACTAAAGTTATGGGTCTACACCAAGTTTCCATCAAAAACTTCTACCTTTTAGGAGCTCATCATAAAAGATCACATTGGCTTTAACCAGTTGGGTAGTGCACAAAAAAGCAGTTTTATTGGATGCTGGTGCTTTTTTTGTACTACTATATTATCAAAATTTTTTTCATTATATTTTTAAAATCCAACTTCTACAAAGTAAATCACCTCAGACTTAAGACTTCAGAACAAAGTAGAGACACCTGCAGTTATCAGTAAATGCCACCTTTAATCCATCCTGCAGTGCCCTATGAAAGGGTCACAGAAAGACAGTTATGACTGTAGGAAAATATGATTCTTGATACAGAATCAAAAGTTATTTTCAATTTCCTTTGCTTTTATAAAGTCCACAATAACAATACTTAAATGCACTTTTTTTTTTTCTGTGATACAATTAAAACCCAGTGTTACTTAAACAACTTAAAATAGTCCCTGGTCTGGATTAGACTTTAAATCATACTGTAAACATATATTTGGTATAATTTATTGATCATCGTCCAGTTGCTCCAAAAGGGTTCTTCTCTGTTTTTCTAATTACCCCTCACTCAGTTCACTGCCAGAAGTATCCCAATTACCAGAATCCTTCCCAGTCTTAGGTGATTTGTGTTTTGATTCTGATCTCTGTCTAGTTCTGTCTTTTTCATTTTCCCGATCTTTTTCTTTTTTATCCTTTTCTCGCTCTGCATCTGATTCTGGAGAATCCAAATGATTTTAATGGAACACTGAAGTGAAGTACAACTACAAAATAGTAATACCTCGGTTCACAAAGCTTCTGTAGATTTATGCCTCCTCTTCTTGCTTTTCTTCTTATGCTTTTTTGAT